GTAGGTAGACAACTTGATGTTGCCTGCTCACAAAACAAGTTTCTCACACATACATTCCCTTTTCTAAATATTTTTCTAAGATAAAAACACTTTGAATGCATTCTCAACGATACGAGAATCATTACAAAGTTCTCCGCACTAAGGCATCTTTTCAAAAATATTTTCAAATACACTTACAAAAAAAAGGCATTTTCAAAGTGAGCTAGCAACTAAGAACCCGCAGATAACTACAGATGGAAAAGGTGCGAACACCTTCCCTTTCCATAACCTACCCCTCGAACTCAAAATCTTTAAAAATGTCTTTTCTATTCTTTTCACCATTTTCTTTGTTGGATAAAAGAAAAGTCGATGGCCACTCTTGCTAACTGCAACATTTTGCGATAAAATGCAAAACAAGTAAAGTCAGTTCTCCCACCGTATTATAGAATTGGAGACTCTGCTGGGGAAAACTAAAGTGGGATTACCTTAGATATAGTTCATATTTTAAATGCTTTCCTTGTTTGACTTGATTTATCTATTTTTGAAGGATTGTTTGGGTATTCTTGTAAAGATCCTATACCCGGATCTGGGGCATTTTAGGTAAGTAGAAATAGATCATGGAAACTATACATCGTAGATCGATATGGTTGAAATGATAGTTACGTTAGTGTGACACATTTGTGGGTACGGGTGTCTCTTGAGTTGAATCAAGAGTGGTGTCGTGAAGCAATAACTGACCGTAGAACCTTAGTTGAAATAACTTGGCTATTAGAAGGTAGTGAGATAGTCGGCTTTGGTGAAAAACTAAAGATTGGTTGATACTCGATACTACACTCCTTGAGATCGTACTTTTGGGATATTTCGGCCGCGAGAAAAGATCGCTTGAGTTGAAACAATGCCCGATAAATAAAGATCAATGATATTAAGATTCCTTAGAACCCGGTTACTTCTTTTAGGACAAGTTGAACCAACTAAACTTCAAGAGGGTACTTACCTACAACTCTCTACAAGCTTTAACCTAAGAGCTTGTATGTTTTGTTTGTGTATGATTAAATTGTTCAAACATAACATCATGCATCATAACATTCATACCATTTCATTTCCTAACCATTTCAAGGACCAGAGAATTTATCTTTGTTCTGTTTTGCAGACTATGGCTTCCATTCGCAAAAATACCATCTGAATCAGCTTTGTAAAAGTGCTTCCTCAACTCAAAGATTAGCATCAAGGGTTCCTGAAGATTCTCCCTTCATCAAAAGATATGGTCGACTTCTCAATCTGGCTAGCTCCGAATTTTAATAAGACATGATGTGTGTGCTCTTTCAGTTCTTTGATCTTATGCATCATTGTTTCACCTTTCCTGACTATCAATTGGTGCTTACATTGGAAGAGTTATCTTAACTGTTAGGAGTGTCTGTGCTTGATCAAATGTCATTCACTGGTTTAGAGGGAACTTCAAAGGCTGAAGTTATTTCCAAGGCCTTACATCTGAAGAAATCCGACATTGTAGCTAATTGGGAAATAAAGAGTGGAGTCGAGGTTTTTCTAGCCAAGTTTCTGTTAGAGAAGGCTTGACTGTTTTAGGAAGATATGGATTTTCAAGTTTTTAAAGATGTTTTTGCTCTTCTAGTCTATGGTTTGGTTTTGTTCCCTAATCTAGACCAACTCATAGATGTGAATGTTGTCAAGGTTTTTCTTTCTCGTAACCCTGTGCCTACTTTGCTTGGAGACATTCTACATTATCTTCACACTCGTACCATGAGGAAGAGAGGGACTCTTAGGTGTTGTATTCCGTTGATGTCTAGGTGGTTTGTTTTGCACCTTCCTCGATCAGTATTGAAGAATGAACAAGGCTTGTCGTGGTCTCAAAGGATGATATCGCTCTCTCATTCGGATATTTATTGGTGTTCCCGATCTTTGGAGGATGTTACTATTATTGACCGTTGTGGGGAGTTCCCTAATGTCCCACTCTTGGGAATTAGGGGAGGCATTGCTTATAACCCTTCTCTGGCACTACGGAAATTCGGCTATGCTTGAAGAGATGGCCCTCATGACGAACTCATCCAAGGAATTGTATTCGACTACGAGAATGATGTCCAAGTTTATCATCAAAGGTTTGCACGAGCTTGGGGCATGGTAAACAAGGTTGCTAGCAAAACTTTGGGACATAAGAACTCTATTGCTCTTGAGCCTTATCTTAAATGGGTGCGAGCTCGCGCTCAAAATCACATGATCTCTTATCCAGCCATCCTGCCAATAGTTGTGGAGCCTGTCATTGAGGGGGATGTTCCTTATACCATTCTCCATCCATATATGCCTACTGACCTGGAAGAGTTGTAGAAGTCTTGGATTCAATTGAAGGAAGAACGGGACATCTTTGAGACCCAATTCTATGCAAGTGAGAAGAAAGTGTTGGAACTCATAAGACAACTTCAAGAGGAGCATAGTCTTAATGCATACATCAGTACAAAGAGGAAGCGTCTTTAGGAGATTTGATTCTTAGATTTTAGGAGTTCATTTTATCTTTGAAAGCTTTTGTTATCATTGTAAGCTTAAAGGCTGTTGTAACTTAAACTTTGCTAATAAAATTTTTGTTTTTTGTTTCCTCCTGATTAGCAAATTTAAATTTCATAAGGTCCTTGAAATCATTGCATTTACATATCATGCATCATTTCATAACAATTTTTTTCGTACAAGTTTCTCATTTTCTCGTTGTTTATTTCAGCAGAAAAATGGCCCTCGAACAAACCGTAAAAGATCTCTAGGCTCAACACGCCTAGTTCCAGGAAAATCTCATGAATCTGGTCCAAGGGAAAAAAGAGATGTTGGCGCTTGTCGCCAAGAAAAAAGACCAAAAAGCCTGCTGTTATCCTCAACATACTCCTGGGAATGATGTTCATCGCCTCACAGACCATTGACTTGGATCCAGGAAAGCTTCTCGGCCCCTTTTACCTCATAAAAGGAGAAGAATAAACCCAATATAGGAATGATGTTCATCACCTCACAGACTATCTCAAAGGCCTTTATGAAGCCCCAACTGTTAGGACAAAGTTGCTAAGGTACGATGTTCATGGCCTTCAGTACATCGACCTCAAAATTGTTAAAGGGTATACAGATTCTGAAATCCTCCAAAACCCTGACATAAAACTAAAAGAAATATTCACTAGTGGACTTCTGACGAAGTATACTCTCTTAGAGTAACCATAATCTAAAAGGAAAAGTGAAAACAAAAGGGTAAGAGGAAATACTTGAAAAAATGGAGAACACTTGAGGAAGATTGAACGCTTTCTTGAAGATGTAACACCTTATGAAATGCCAAAGATAAAAAAGGAAAGAAGAAAATAGGGTTTTAATAAAGCCCAATAAGCAGTACACTAGGGGAAGGAAACGCCACCCAATGAACAGAAGTTTAGGTGGACGTCATCATTACTCTAGAAAGAGAAAATGATGACTCTTCATTTTGCACCATGTATGAAAGGATAAAGGAACGAGGTGCAACCCGACGGTGCCTTCAATATCTTATGTGAATTTGTGACCGAACAATGCATCCTTGCAAAAAATATTGAATTTGGGGGACTTATGTACATCCCAGAAACATTAGGCCCAACCGGTAGTGTAATTGGCGAAAGAGATGATTAAGTTGGTAGTTGTAGAAGGAGCCTGGGCTGCAACTCAGCTAAGGAGTACTGGGCGCTCATCATACCTCCGAGTAGCAGCCTGTATATACCCTAGACCCGAATAAGGTTGGCGACCGAGACCACCTGCCCATAGCCGGACATCAACTCGATTCATTAATGCTCATAATCTTTGACGGTGCATTTACCACAACGTTACACAATTTTAATCACCTGTATTCATGGAGACGACGAAGATTATATGGTTATGGAACTCAAGAGTCACTCATTAACTGAGGCTCTTGATGAAGCAAAGAAGGAATACTATATAAGGGACTCCCACATGAGGGATAAGCAAGACATCATTTTTGGGACAATACGCACTATTGACGCAGCGCCCAAATTCCCAATAATCTTACAAACCTACTTTCATGGCTTTCCTCACCTTTAAAGAGGAAGCCAACCGAATATTTATTCTACGCAAGAACAATTTTTATTTTAATTTTGATTTGGAGGAGCGTTTAACGGCGAAGAGTGAGCAAATGGAAGAACGAATTGGTGAAGAAGATGAAAGATGGAAGAACATGGAAGAAGATGGAAGAAGGTGGAAGATGGAATTCACATAGAGAGTGTTGGAAAGATTGGAAAGACAATAAATTATATGCTCGGATTTATAATATATTTTGTTACTAAATAATGACTGAGAAGTTATGAGACTTTCCATAATCCAAGATATTAATTTTGACAATATTTTCCCGCCTTAAAATAAAATTTAATAGACAATATACTATATTTAGAGATTAAAATAAATAAAAAATGAATTAGAAAAAACACATAAAACGCATTAATTATCAAATAAATATAATTGAATCAAGGATTTAATTAGTTATTTTCAACCCTAAAATCAAAATAGTTAAAACTTGTAATTAGAATGGTAGGCGAAAATTTTCCAATAATTTATATTTTATATATTTATAATAAATGAGGTGGCACCCATACACGCACCACGTATTCACCTTACGTGAATATCAGTTTGTAAAATTAATTGAATTATATTAAATTCTGTATGTTCAGAATATCACACACTTTCTCGCTTTTTCAGGAAATCAAATGTACTTCTAGAAAAACAGTGAGTCATCAATTAAAAAAATAAATTTCGAGTTATGATGTAAACCGTGTGATATTAATCAAACGGTTTACATTATGTGAGTGCACCTAATCAAAACTCGAAAGAGGCGTGAGTGAATAGCGAGTCTCGTGACCGGTGAGTGGTTGTTGAAGAAGCCGCAATTGTAAACTAATGAGTTTTTTGCTATTGGCACCACCAATTCCCACGAACCCGGAACTCTGACACATTTTTATACTTACTTTCCGAACCTAAAAACCTAAAACCCTGAAACCAAAAACATGAGCGGTATTGTTCTCAAGAACCGCTCTAACGTTTCCCATTTCATCATGTTGCAACGACAATCAATGTTCATAAACCATTCCTGTAATCCAATTAGACTTCATTCTCTTCTCTGCAACAAGCTTCATTCCAAACCTTACTTTCGATTACCGGATTTTGTCAAGAAACCCAAACAACATGAAATTTCTCCGGGGTCTTTGTTTTCTTCTTCGTCTTCTTCTTCAACAGCTTCCGTTTCGAAAGTTGGTTTTGTAGGTTGGTATTTGGGGATGATTAAGTCACATCCTATTCTCACTAAAAGTATTACTTCTGCACTTATTTATACCGCCGCTGATTTATCCTCCCAGGTACTACTACTACCCTTTTCTTTGTCTCGTTTTAGAGCATTACTGATGTTTTGGATGTGATGATTTTACTTGTTGTGTGAATGAATGTTTCAAGTTTTTAGAGGCACTCACTAGGTTAACCTGACAAATATTTTATGAGATTCTATTTAGTTATAGTTTAATCCTGACAAATTTGAGATCATGTGTGGTAATCCGTCTTGCATTCTCTCAAAGACGGGTCTTGCATGCATCATCAGTTATGGGAATGAAATGTAATGGAAGAGGAGAGATCCAGCAAGATTTTGATGCAATGATTATTCTATTTTGTTGTTCTGTATTAACCTATCTCCCTGTTGTCATTAACATATCAAACTTGAGAGTATGTGCAAACTCTTACCATATCCGCGTAGATCAAGAAGTTAAAATCAAGGTTTTACTTTGGATTGGACAGGGGAGTCTGTAAATTGCGGGATGGTAACATTGATTGTGAGAGCCTATAAAATCTATTAAAATGCAATAACTTTAATAAACATAAATTCAAAATCCATAAGAAAGTCGTATACGAGAAGGAGAAGAGTACAGCTGACTGAAGTTCTAGAGATGTCCGAGAAACCAAAATCTTTTGAAAGAATACAGCCACATATTATTGAAGTTCAGAATTTGGCTAGGGTTTACATTTAGCACATTAAAATATTAATGATCTCAACTACTTTCCCCACCCGACACATAAACTCAAATGGTTCGCAAACAATCCCACCGATCTCACAAGTAAGATCTACAATCCCGTGTGATCCTGGTAAACTGCGATTATACTTGTGAACAGGATCACCCAAGTCTTTAAGATTTTAAAATCTCAAGATCGTGATTTTGACAACCATGTGTTTGAGTTACCAAATATAAAAATAATAGTAATTAACACTACAAATGGTATTGAGATTAACCAAAAATTTTGTTACTCCGACTCCATAATAAAGAAAATCATAATAATAGAGTGCCGAAGCACAAGTAATGGGCAAAACTTAAGTTCCTACTGTGGGAAAAATTAAAATGAGTTGCAAATATTCACAATCTTCAAGTTATACACCATTAAACATACCCAACTGCACATGGACAAATAAAAAAGATCGGAAACAGAGGTGGGATAGCTCTTTTTATGTAGAGAAGACAACACCTTATTGACACAGTACAGGGCAAGCACCTAAAGTGGTCAAGCTTGTGCTATGGGATGCATCAAAATGTTCGAGGGCGTAGATCGTCCAGTGCAACAGTGTATGGACATGTTTATGCGATGCAGCAGGGCTTCGTGAGTAAACGTGATCTCTGGACAGTGAGTATTGTTGATTGATGTATTGCAAAAGAGAGTAAACAATAGCGTGGTTCTTTGTTGATTGGACGGGAAACTACAACAGCAAAAGCAGTTTTTTGAAGCATTGTGACTAAACAGAAACTGGAGGGTTACGGATGAGAGTGGTCGATACCACGGTTCTTTGTTTATACATGTTATGGTAGGATGGGAGGCTACCACAGCATGGGAAGCTTTGGAAGCATTGTGATTGTGAGTAAACAGAAATGCAGAAGCCCTGTGTTGAAATGCCTTCTTTTTGCATGTTTTTGGTCCTAATTTTACATTTTCATCAGACTCGCGCTCGTGATTTTGAGTGAGTTCAAACAAGTCCACACGAGTTCAACTATGCTTGATGAGAAATGAGTTTATATGCAATTCAACATGATTTTCCTACATAGAAGAAAGTCGTGGGTTTGACATCCATGCTTGTAGTATATTTTTGTTAAAAAGTTGTGCTAAAAATTAAATCATTATTTGGACTTTATTCTAGAATAAATGGTATTTTCGTGATAAATGATACGATTTGTAGATGCAGTTTATAGTTTGTCTTCCTACATAGAGTCAGGGTGTATTTTTTTCACAATTTGGACAATATTGGAAGTGAATAAGTCCTTTTTGTTTTCTCCTCCACCTAGCTACACATTGGACTAGGTGAGCCATGGCTGTTGTTTACTTCTCTGATAAATAGATTCTCAATTGTTGATTTGTTGTCTCTTTAGTTTATACTAGTATCACGTCTATCCCATGAATGCCAAAGCTTTGTTAATTTTCTATGTTGAATGAGATAAGGCCTGTAAAAGTGTTTATAGCAGGAGACCGTTAGTTAAAGGCCTCCCATCTTGAAAGCAGTTATGAAATGGGACAGCAGTTCACAGTTATTGTTTTTTATGTACTTAGAACTAGGAGTTTATGACGGAAGCAGGGCATTGACTTATTTGCTAGTAGATTGGTTGGGAAAGATAATTCTCAGAGTTTGATCAATAAAATTTAGAAGTGTTATTCTGTGTATTAAAGCAGTTTTATACCAGTTCTAACATAGGCATCTCTGACCTTACACGTAGGTTATGTACTAATAACTTAGACTCTATCCAAATTTTAAGATGGTCTTAAGGTCTGTCTATCCAAGATCTGTTGGGGCATTTGGGTCACGTTCCAAATGTCGAGTTTTTTGGGCGTGAGGCTAGTTTGTTTAGACTCCCACATTGGATGAGATATGAAGGCAACTCTCAGCATACTAGCCGGATTTGTATGGTTGCAGTTTCTAAGATACTTCAATCATGAACACCAACCTAGAGCTTATAAGTAGGAACATAAACCCAAATGGAGTATGCTTTGAAATCAGTGTTATTTTGAAATATTTTCATTCAGTGATAAAAACAGTGAAAAGAAATAAAAAGGTGCTACATAATCAATATCGATATATTTAGCCCCACCTACTGCCCAGTTCTTCTGTTGTTGTCGTGTGTTTTGGATGTGCTGGTATTTTGACTGTAATATGGTGAAACATTTTGTTACACCCTTTAAACAATAAGGTGCATGGTTGCCCTTTTTGAGGAGCCTCATGGCTAATTCGTGAGTCTTTTAAATAGATATCATTATCTGATTCTCCTTAAGCGGCTTAACATGGTCTGATATTGCATACTTCATGCTCATTATGTTGTTTCTCTCATACTCAAATGGTATTCAATATCTAATTCCTTCAGACTATTGAGTGGCAACCATCAAAATCTTATGATTTTGTAAGGACTTTACGCATGGCGGGATATGGGATGATCATTTTAGGACCAACACTACATTTTTGGTTCAATTTTATGTCAAAGCTTTTCCCAAAGAGGGATCTTTTCTCTACATTGAAGAAAATGGTCATGGGCCAGACACTCTATGGACCTGCCATGACTGTTATTTTCTTCTCCTCGAATGCTGGTGTCCAAGGTATATCCAATTTTCTAGTATAGATTGTTATTCAAAATGCCAAAGTTCCACAAAACCTTTGTGCCACCCTTTACTATTTTAAGTTTACGAACTGCTCAACAGTTTCTCTTTGTTGCCAGGTGAAAACGGTAAAGAGATTGTTGCCCGTTTAAAGCGCGATTTGCTTCCTACATTGTTAAATGGAGTCATGTACTGGCCCATATGTGATTTTATTACTTTTAGATTCATTCCTGTCCATTTACAGGTATGTGTTAATTTCTCCTTTAACATTTCTCATCATACAGCATAGCATGCCCACTAACTCTGGTTGTTTACTGATGATTTTCTGCATCTGTTTATTTGCTACAGCCATTAGTCAGCAATTCATTCGCGTACTTGTGGACCATTTATATGACCTATATGGCAGGCCTAGAGAAAGCCGAGATAACTAGCTGATCGTCGTCGGTAGTTCACGACTGAGATTCGGACTGACTATACTCTTACAGTTTATCTGGAAGCTGCGCTGCAGTATACAAAAAAATCTTTTGGGTGTCTACAGAGATGTCCGATCTCACACTATGGCTATACCACTACTACTACTGATCAGGACCCACGGTTGAAACCTTTTTTATTTTTTAGTTTTGTTCCTCAATTGTATTGTTTATTTCTTATTCGAATAGACCAATTTGTAAGACAGCTGAAGCTCTTGAAGAGTTTCTGTTACTGAAGTTTATATTTATTTCTCCGAAAACATTTTTTAATCATAATTTCAAGAGGCATTTCCTTTATTTTTTTTGTTACAATTGATATTAGTTGCTCCTTACTAAAGAGGAGATGAAATCTGCATATGGAAGTCGAGTTGAGTTTTCAAACCCTTTTCTTGAGTAAGTATTATATATCATCCTTTCAAATTCTTATTAAAAAAAGCATCAAACGAAATGATAAAATATGGTAATCAAGATTAGAAAACTTTGTTATGTATATAAAATTGTTACTCTCAGTTTAAAGAAAAAGATTCCAAGTTTGTTCCATCATTTGATTTTATACAAAGGAATTTCCTAATACACCCTTGTACCTTCTTTTTAGAGGCTCTTGACGAAATTTCTATAATACTCTCTGAATTTGGATATGCATATTCAAAGAGTATTTTAGGGTTTTCAAATATTTTTTTCCACCTATATAAAGGTGTACTAAGAAATTCCCTTATACAAATTCCCTTACACAATGTAGATGCAAGACTTAAAACAAAATTGTCAAGAGCAAATTTTGGCAAATACTCGAAAACGTGACCCATGACTGCCCTGCAACCCGTGAAACCTTTCTGGAGTGCCGTAGCCCTATTCTGCACCGCCCCTAGCGGCCGCCATTGCGCATTAATGGCCACCTTTGACTACCCATGGATTTTTAAGACACAAAGAATTGTATATGCCAGAATGAAATAATTAAAGAACATCGTACTATATCCCAAACTTGCTCAAATCAATGAAAATTACATGAATTAAAACAGTAAACAAGGAAAAAACAAACAAAACATTTAACAATCAGAACTGGATATTATTGAACAATGGTGTTACATTCATGATACAATGAACTTCTTAATCCTACTCAGAGGTTCCAGTCTCTAGTATTGACATGACCTACTCCCTAACAACTATCAAAATCTATCTAAAATGCTGTGGCTTATTCAGTATCGGCACATTTTGTGACTTTGGGAACTGACAAAAACTTGAAGTAAAAACAGTTCAATATTAAAAGTATACCACAACTGCAGGCTGCCTACCAACTCCTGCCTACCTTTTGATTTCATCTGCAACTAAATTTCTGATCTACTAAGGACAGAGTCTTCATTCTTCAGAAGCACGTATACAAATCTTCTCAAGCTGTGTAGGCCAATCTGATCCAAGAGCTTGTGGATTTAATTCCATTGCAACACGAAAATCCAAGAGAGATGCGCCAGAAGATTGGGTTGCTGTTTGCATATATCTTCTGGGTTGCAGCATATTTGAATCAGCTACAGACTGCACATTTCGCTGCCTTGGGTGCTCATTTCCAAATCTCGGCCCAGATAAACCCATGGAGGATTCAACCAACCTCTTCATATAAGAATCCAGGGCATTGTTTAATAGATTTACACAATCCACTGTCATAGTTAAACCCTCCTTCTCCAACTTTTGCTCCAAACGACTCCTCAGAGAAGAGGTGTCAGGGAGATATCCATTGCTGAAACAGGTCTCTGGAGGATACTTTCTGCATGATGGTGCACTAGAAAGAGCTTTGCGTCCATGACCGAAATTCATCGATATCCCAAGGGGAGCTGTAACTGGGCTCTTACTTTGAATGCTTGGGCTTCCAGCAATCTGTTCAACCTCTTCTCCATCTTCCACAGAAATGGGAGGCCTACTGCCAAGGGAATTCAGCTCCGTTGCACTCTGCTGCTCTGGAGTCTTATACATCAAATATTTAGATGCAAGACTTTGGGGTTGTAAGCTCTTAAGCGTCGCCAAAGAACCACCCCTACGTAGAGAAGGCGGAAACGCATCCCCGTACCGCATTTGAATCGGGCTAATCTGCTGCTGGTTTGGATCTTTCGCATTCAAGACACTCCTTGTTTTTGCATTCCCTCTAACAGGTGGGACTTTAGACAAACAAACATTCTTGAGAATTGCCTTAATGAGTTGATTGTGAAGAGCGATATTTTCCTTCCCAATCGTCATGATACAAATCTTGTCAAACTCGGTCTTGCTGATCTTCGAACTAACCAATTTCCCAAGATGATCAAAGTATTTGTTAGCTCTCTGATTACCAACCTTTCGTAGAATAAGAGCTTTCAGCTCCAACGTGTTTATTCGAGTATAGTTTCGTTTCGGTACCGTCATTTTCTTCGATCTTCTCACAATAACTTCAACAACTGGCAAATCAAAATCTTAGATTCTCCAACAAAAAACCCACCAAATGATCCAAAACAAAAACAAACAAAAAAAAAGCTTAAACCCTAAATCCCAAACAGCATTTCTATCTGAAATTCATCTAGTTTACAATCAGAAATCATCATCAAATTCAACAACTTATTGACTAGAAACGATAACTCAGTTGACAATTGATGAAAAATGAAGATCAAAACACGAGTCCGACCCAAATTGAAAAACAAACAGAATTGAGAATTCTAACCAACGATTATCAAAGATGAAACAAAACCCATTCAGGAATTCGAAGAAAGTAAAGAAATTCAATGAAGTTAGAGAAGAGCAAGGATCGTACCAGAATGGATCGCCAACAATGAAGAATTGAGTATGAAGTTGAAAAAGCTGAGATGTTCTGTCTGAAATCCCCAATTGCTATTTTGGTGCAGAGTGTGTCTGAAACAAGATGAGATCAGAGAGACCAAACCCTAACTGGGATTGATTCATGTAAGACTAAAGAACCAAAATCCCATCCTCAACCTTGGTCTTTTTTTCTTGTGTTAAAACACTCTTTTTCTCTCTCCCTATCCAAAATGGAGTAATAAATTGGGGGCATTTGACATTGTATTTGTACTATTCATCATTACTCTCTTCTCTTTTTTTTTTTTTAAAGGGGTGTTTTTTATTTCTATGAATATAGATGGAACATTTTTCATTTTTATATTTGTTTTAAGTTTTTCAAAATTATATCCAAGAATTTTTTATTTCTAGAAATTCGTTTTATACATAATTTTATTATTTTTTATTTTCATGTTATAGAATGGAAATTTTATATTTCTATGAAATAAGAAGTAATCACCCATAACTTGTTACTCTCAAATATTTTAACTTATTTATTTTATATTTTATTTTAAGAAAATTAAATTTTTTCACCAAACACATAATTGAAAATAAAATTTCTAAAAATAATATTCTTAAGAATAGCATTTCCAAGATTGTACTTTTAGTCTCTGAAATAAACACATTCTAATAATATATTTTTAAGAATATTTACATATTTAATTAATTAAAAAATCCGTACAATGCACGCGAACAAATTGACTTTTGAATATTTTATATTGTAATAAGAATTATATATCGACAAATCAAATATAAAACATTTAAAAAAGCACATGTCAATGTTATCGACTTGCAAACTAATTTGATAATATGGTCGAAGAATTTAAATTGTTAGAATATCTTAAATTGTTAATTTCGAGTTTAAGTATTATATGTATGACAGGTAAGAAAAGAAAAAGAAAGAAAAATGTTTATCATACTAATGTGTCGTTAGAAATGTATGTTGTTGTTGGAAATAATTTATATTTTAGAAATATCTCGGAATATCTTTTTATATCTTTGTTAGAGGGTATTTTAGTATTTTATTATATCCTAATTTTGTGTGTAAATAACCTAGTAGTAGGTAGGTCATTGTAATTCATTTATTCCTTATTCTATAGCCGTCATTAAATATATTCTTTTTTGTCTTTCATCTCTCCTTGTGCACCAACAATTCATATTAGAGCTCTGGTTTAAAATCCACGGGGAAACGGGAAACACGAGTGAACAGTGAGGTATTATTGAGAATCGTTTTTCTGATTCAGTGGGATTTGGGAAACACTTTTAATAAATTTTTGAGTGAATTGCACAAGGTTGAAGATGAACGGAAACAGCGATATAAATTCCAAGCTTCCAACGTTTGATGGCAAAAACTAGAATCGTTAGAAGATTCAGATGCGTGTGTTATTTGGTTCTCAAGATGAGTTATATCTTGTCACCAATGGCTATGCTCCGTTAGCAGCAAACGCAATAGAGGCTCAAAAGATTACGCAGAAGGCGCTAAGGAAGAAAGATCAGAAGGCGTTGTTCTACATCCATCAATATATGGATGCGAACGTGTTTGAGAAGATTGTTGACTCTGAAGCAACAAAGGTTATATGGGACACACTAGTCAGATGTTACGGTGGTGATGCAGCAGTGAGGAAGGTGAAACTTCAGTCTCTCAGAAAGCAATATGAGAATCTCAACATGAAAGACAACAAGAAGGTTTCTGAGTACATCTCTTGAGTGATTCTGATCACTAATGAGATGAAGTCTTGTGGAGAAACTCTTTCTGAACAAGTAATTATTGAAAAGATATTGAGATCTTTAACTTCTCAGTTTGATTACATTGTGGTAGCAATTGAATATTCCAAAGATCTGAGCACCGTGAGATTTGAAGAGCTGCAAAGTAGTCTAGAGGCGCATAAGTTGCGTATGACTGAGATAACTTATGAGAGGGAAGTAGAGCAGCAGACTCTGAAAGTAACTTCTGGTAAGAAGTATCAGAAGCAGACTTGGTCAGAAGCCATGAAGAAAACTAACGGTAAAGGTCAGAAGCTTCAAACTCTGATAGGCAAAAGAATGTCCATAAGGGAAAGGAGAAGTCTGACAAGAAGAATGATCAGTGTTATTGTTGCAAGAACTTTGGTCACTATGCCAAAGATTACTGGTTAAACAAAGAAAGGAAGTCAAAAGAAGCAAATATAATCAGAGGAGAGTCTGATGATGAACTTATGCTATTGTTGGCTTCTGAACCTGATAATATGAATCCATCATATTGGTGGTATATGGACACGGGGTGTTCAAACCATCTTACTGGAAACAAGAAATGGTTGGTTGATTTTGACTCTGGGAAGAGTACAGAGATCAGATGTGATGATGATAAATACCTCAATGCAGAAGGTATATGAAATGTCAGAATCATTCTAAACAATGGGAAAGCAGCAATGATCCAGAATGTATGGTATGTACCTGGCATGAAAAGCAATTTGATGAGTGTGGGATAACTGATTGAGAAAGGTTTTTCAGTTACCATGAAGGACAATCTTCTAAAGCTATATGACTGTAATTAGAAGCTAATTATGGAGTCAGAACATGGAAGGAACAGAACATTCAAGGTGAATGTTAGAACTGCAGACTTTGAATGTCTTAGTGAAATAAGTGTTGTCAAGAAGAGTGAGCTGTGGCACAGAAGATTTGGTCATCTGAATTTCAAAAGCTTAGGGCATCTAAAATCAAAAAAGATGGTACATAGAATTCCTATAATCAAGAAGCCTGAGAAGTCATGCAAGGTATGCATGGAAGGGAAGCAACCAAGATTACCATTTGCATCAGAAGTAGCTCCAAGAGCAAAGCATGCCTTAGGAGTAGTGCATTCTGATGTATGCGGTCCATTTCCAGTAGCATCAACTGGAGGGAATAAATACTTTGTGTCATTTATTTATGAGTTCACCAGAATGACATGGGTATCTCTCATAAAATTCAAACACGAGGTATTTTCTGAATTCAAGAAGTTCTGACTGAAGGTTGAGAATCAGAGTGATCAGACTCTTAAGATTCTTAGAACAAGTGGTGGTGGTGAGTATAACTCCATATAATTCAGAAGGTTCTGTAAGGAGAATGGAATTGAGCATGAGGTTACTGCTCCCTATACTCCTCAACACAATGGTCTTGCTGAAAGAAGAAATTGTACTTTGCTTATATGGTGAGAAGCATGCTGAAAGAGAATAAGCTTCCTCATACTCTGGGGAGAAGTTGTTGCTATTGCATGTTATATAATCAACAGATGTCCAACGAAGAAGCTGAAGAAAATAGTTCTTATTCTGAAGTGGACTAGAGATAAGCAAAATGTTAGTCATCTGAAGGTGTTTGGTTCTGTATGTTACAAACATGTCCCAGAAGCCAAAATGCAGAAGTTGGATGATAAAAGTAAAGTAATTTTACTAGTGAGGTACCACAGTACAGGTTTGTTCAAACTTTATTATCCAGAAACTAACAAAGTTGAGTTCGGTAGAGACGTCATTGTAAAAGAATCAAAATTCTGGAATTGGGAAAGGTCTCGTCCTGACTCTGATGAGAGAACTCTTGAAAAAAAGTCAGAAACACATGTTTCTGAAGCTCGTAAAGACTCTAACTTTGAAGAAGATTCAGAAGGTGAAGATGATTCTGACTCTGACTCCGACGGTGATTCAGACTCTGGGAATTTTCTAGACTCTGAAGACAGTCAAGGTTCTGGAGAAAGTCCAATTTATGAAGCAAGAGCTTCTGAAGGGGAAAGTTCTGGTGTTCGAGGTTCTGAAGTTCAAATTCAAAGGCAACAAAGAGTCAGAAGCATTCCAAGAATATTTGTAGAGTTTGACATGTTACAAGACCTGAAGTAGACTTCGAAAGAGAAGTTATTCAGTGTGCAATGTTAGTTTACTCTGAATTCGTGAGTACGAAAGAGGCTCTTAAGCAGCAAGTATGGTTGCAGGCCATGAATGAAGAACTTGGTGTTATAGAGAGAAACAATACTTGGAAGCTGACAAAACTTCTAAAAGGCAAGAAAGTCATCTACGTCAAATGGGTTTTCAAGCAGAAGCTAAAGCCAGATGGATCAATTGGAAAACACAAAGCAAGATTAGTAGCAATAGGTTTTCTACAAAAGCCTGGGTTGGATTACTCTGAAGTGTTTGCACCTGTAGCGAGACATGAAACAATCAGACTAGTGATTACAATAGCTGCTACCAGGAATTGGCCTCTTATGCATTTAGATGTAAAATCTGCATTTCTGAATAGTCCATTACAAGAAGAGGTATACGTGTCACAACCTCCTGGATTTGAGAAAAAGAATCAAGAAGGGACGGTGTTCAAATTACACAAAACCTTGTATGGATTGAAGCAAGTGCCCAGAGCCTGGAATCTGAAGATTGATTCATTTTTCAAGTGACAAGGGTTTCAGAAGTGTGAGAGGGAGTATGGTGTTTATGTTCACCATACTTCATAAGGTTATATGATTCGGGTATGTTTGTATGTTGATGATATATTGCTCACATGAAGTTCTGAACAAAAGATAGCTGAGTTCAAGAAGATTCTGATGAATGTGTTTGAGATGACAAATCTTGGGAAAATGAGTT